TGTAGAAGGAAGACAAATTGTAGATCAAATACTTATTGCCAATGAATGTGTTGAGGTGAAGAGGAGAAAGGAAAAGGGGTTGATTTGCAAATTGGATCTTGAAAAGGCATATGACATGGTGGACTGGGATTTTTTACTAGAGGTTCTCAAGCGGAGAGGGTTTGGGGAGAGATGGTGCAATTGGGTAAAGGGATGCCATTTCTTCATGTCATTTCTCAATATTGGTGAGTGGTGTAGCTAGGGGTTTCTTTCCTGCAAAGAGGGGTATTAGGCAAGGAGATCCATTGTCCCCATTCCTCTTTACCCTAGTAGCTGATGTGTTGAGTGCCATGATTTCGAGGGCTGATGTGAACAATTTGATAAGAGGTTGGAGGATTGGTAGGGAGGAGGTGATGGTCACACACTTACAATTTGTAGATGACATCATCTTGTTTTGTGATGGGGAGGAAGGGGAATTACAGAACTTAAAGAGTTTAGTGCTTCAATTTGAAAGGAAGTCCAATCTTAAATTGAACTAGGGAAAAAGCTGTGTGGCAGAGCTCAATTTAGGGGGAGAGGAGGTGGATTCCCTAGCTAGGATTTTGGGGTGTGAAGTGGGGGGCTGGCCTTTACAATATTTGGGGCTACCACTGGGAGGGAACCTAATGGTTGAGAGTTTTTGGTACCCTGTAATTGAAAGATTCTCCAAGAGGTTAGCAAATTGGAAGAGGAATTACATCTCTTTAGGGGGTATGATAATCTTAATCAAGTCAACCTTGGCCAACCTGCTAGTTTATTTCGTATCTACCTTTAGAGTACCAATGAAAGTAGCTAACTAGTTAGAGAAGATAATAAGGGATTTCTTGTGGGAATTAGGGGATATTAAGAAGGATCACTTAGTGAAGTRGGAGGTGATTTCTAGGAGTAGGGATGATGGAGGCCTTGGGTTAGGAAATATAAGATTAAGAAACATGGCTTTGCTGGGGAAATGGATTTGGAGAGTACCGATGGAACATGATAGACTTTGGTCTAGAGTGACTGTTAGAATTCATGGATTGACAAATAACGACTGGGATGCAGGACTCGACCCTAGGGCTTCTTAGTGTTCTCCTTGGAAAGCTATTCAAGGTATTTTGCCTCTTATGCTTCCTTATTTCAAATATGATGTCTGCGCTGGAAATAAAGTCTTGTTTTGGGGAGATGTTTGGGTTGGTGAAAACTCCCTTAGAGATAGATTTCCTTCTATTTACTCCTTGTTTGAAAACAAAAGAAAAGTGATCTCTTCAGTGTTT